TTATGTTCTTTGCAAACAAATCTGGTGTCACACACATATGTTATTAACTCGAAAATCAACTACTTGCTAAGGACATGGGCTCCACCCGTAGGCACCAACTTTGGTTCGAGTTTCTCTGTCATGAGATTTTAAGGAGAAAAAAAACATACCCAATTCATAGTTTAAAAGGCAGAAGTCTTGAGGATCGTTGCAGCATCCACATCTCCTGGTAGTAAATCTACTTCACGGATGAAATCACAATCCTATAACCCACCCTGCCTTTGCAGAAAGAGGTGCCACAAAATCCATGATAGTGACAGACAACGCCTCCTCACTCTGGTAAAAGATCTTTTGAGCACATTTCGTGCCACAGCATTTGCCATTCTCCACAGAGAGGCAAACTAGAACTCCCCTTCGGCCAGTGATACTCAGACGCCACTGACTACTGAAACGTCAGTAAAGGTGCCTAAAGTCATTTTTCACAGAATCAAACTAAGCTACTACTGCGATAGAAATCATACAATCGACTGACTATGCAGACAGGTGCTTCAAGCATTGTGCTGAACCAAAAGCCATTACATTATCTACAGAATTATAAATACATACATAAATATATACACATATATGTATGTATATATATTATAATATATATATATATATAATCTATATATATATATATATATCTATATGGTATGTCTGTGATTGTATATATATATTCATATGTTGTGGTGCATATATATATATATATATATATATAGAGAGAGAGGAGAGAGACAGAGAGAAGTAGGAGAGAGAAAGCGATAAACAAAATATAGTGTAATTATACATATCAACACATATGTATATCAACACTTTATGTTGCTATATATACATACATATATATATATATCTATATATATATATATATATATATATAGATATATTCTATATATATATATACATATATACATATATATATTATTATCTATATAATCTAAATATATATCTATCTATATCTGTATATATAGACATATGTATATTTACATATATACACATATATCAGTATATGTATATTTCATACTATATATATATATATCTATATATATATAGATATATATATATATATTATATATCTACAAACAGACATACATATAGATATGCATATATATATATATATCTATATATTATATATATATTATTATTATATATTCACACACACAGTTATAAATCTGTGTGTATATATGTGCGTGTGGTATGCGTGTTTGCATATTTATGTATATATATGGATACACCGCTATCTCTCCCAGTCAGTCACTCACTCACTCCTGTGTGAGTATGAGTGTGTGTGTGCATAGTTTAATGTGTATATAGATATATATATATATATATATATATATATATATATATATATATGATATCTATATATTATAAACCAAATGAATTTATAAAAATTTTGTGTGTGTGTGTGTGTGTATGTGTGTGTGGTGTGTGTAGATATGTCTATATGTATATATATTCTCATCTATATATATATATATATATATATATATATCTATATCTACTATATAACATAATGCATATAAGTGTATATATATTAGTATATATAGATGTACGCGCATACATATCATCTATTCTAACGTACGTCATATAATATGTATATATATATATATAATATATATCTATAGTATATATATATTATTATACATACATACATATCATATATATATATATATATATATATCTATATATCATATATATAGATATATATATATATGTATATGTATATCCATAGGTATACGAATATATATACATATATATAGACACATATATGACATATTAATATACATTACACACCCACATATATATATACGTATGCCATGTTGTGAACACACTATTTATGATAAACAGAAGATTATCTGTATATATTTCCCTCTCACGTCAATCACTTCTGTGTGAGTGTGTGTACATATGTCAATATTATATATATATATATATATATAGTATATATATATTATATATACATAGTATCTACGTATGTATGTACTGTGTAATATATATATATATAATATATATCTTAATATATTTATATATATACATATGTGTATACAAAGTCCATGTATATATAGTATATCTAGCTATACGTCTACGTAAGCGTATATGTACTATACATATATATATTTGTGTATATATATTATATATATATAGAGAGAGCGGCAGAGAGAGAGAGAGAAAGAGATGTATATTCATCGATCTACGCATATCACATATATACACATATATGACAATTAATGTATATATACCTATGATATCTAATTACCGTATGTGTTCAATGGAACCACACCCACACACATATCCATGTGTGGTACATGTATATATATATACTATATATATATATTATTATATATATATATATCTATATATAGATATACATACATATATATCTCTGCATATATATATATGTCTATATATATAATATATATATATATAGATATATATATATATATATATATATAGATTTAAATATATTAATATATAGGTATATTGTACGTATATATAGTACAGTATGTAATATCGAACACACGCATTTACATATATCTTAATAGTTTATACATACTTTTTATATGTTTATAGATATATATACATATATATATATATATATATATATATATCTATTTATATATATATATAAGACGCAACACATATATAAGTATATAAATATATTAATATATATTGATATATTTAATATACTTATGATATTATATTTTTTTTTTGTACTAACCACAGAAGATTGAAGCCCATCCCGTCGCTATTGCTTTCCCTCCGAAGGAATATCGTCTTCTGCACAAAAAACCTGCAAGAGGACCGCTACCAAAACAGATCGGCTGAAGTTGGCGTCTCCTTGGAAATTCAGGGATGAGGAAGCTCCACTACATCCAGCTGTCGTTGGCCTGGAACGCATTACAAAACGGATCGATATGCGTGATCTTCGCATTGCGCTAATGTCAAGTTTCTTATTACGATAACACTCACCTTTGTGGTTCTGTTATACCGAGGGTGATCGAATTGAATCTCGAATGCAGTCCACGGAATTACCGCCGGGGGGGGGTGTGATATCTATCGAACCGTAACGTTACTTCGACATCTGTAGCTTATTGCTGTTGGCAGAAGAAAAAATGTCGCGAAGGGATGGTAACTTAAATGTTGTCACATATTTTAATGCATACCAACGCACACGAAACAGTTGTCCATCGCCAAATTGTCTTTACTGTATTATTTCCCAAAAGATCGTAAAAACAAATGTTCAGCGTGTGAGAATCCATCTCTCCTTTTATAATTGCACAATTGCACCACCACCCGATTCTGTGATTCTGTACAGTGCTCAGCACTGCTACTTGATACGGGTATTCCCCCATTGATGCTGGCAGGCAACCATTGACAATCTCGTGCTGGCAATACTGATGGGTGCTATTCCACACCGTCTGTGACAGGACAAACGATACGTATGTTCTGCTGCAATACATGATGAATATGCTTTTATATTTATCCTATTTTGTGCATTTGTGCTCTTAATGTTTTTCCGCATGTACCTTCAACACTAAAAGAAACTGACCGCAGTAGAGGTCTGGAGAGCTGCAATTTGTAGTTGCGTAGTAGTTGTCACTGGGTATGACAGTGCTGTTGTTAGTGTTGAAGCAATTGTTTAACAGTGAAGCACTGTTGACGCTGTTGTGTGCTGAATCATTAGTTATCACTGATGTTGTTCTGAAGTAACAGTGGGAAGGTAAACCTGCTGTTGTTGCGGAGCAAACCGTGACTGCGGCGGAGTAGCGTTGTTCAGGAACAACCGTGATGCTGGAGAGTAGTTGTTGCTGCAGGAGCAACCTTGACTGATGCGGAGTAGTTGTTGTTGCAGGCGCAGCCTGACTGTGGGAGTAGTTGTGCAGGAGCAGCCGTGAAGGCTGGCGGAGTAGTTGTGTTGCAGAGCAGCCGTGACTGCTGGCGGAGTAGTTGTTGTGCAGGAGGCAGCCGTGACTGCTGGCGGAGTAGCGTTGTTGCAGGAGCAGCCGTGACTGCTGGCGGAGTAGCTATTGTTGCAGGAGCAACCGTGACTGATGGCGGAGTAGCTGTTGTTGCAGGAGCAACCGTGATGATGGCGGAGTAGCTGTGTTGCAGAGCAACGTGACTGCAGGCGGAATAGCTGTTGTTGCGGGAGCAACCGTGACTGCAGGCGGCAGTAGTTGTTGTTGCAGGAGCAACCGTAACGCGGCGGAGTAAGCTGTTGTTGCAGGAGCAGCCGTGACGCTGGCGGAGTAAAGCGTTGTGCAGGAAGCAACCGTGACTGCTGGCGGAATAGCTGTTGTTGCGGGAGCAACCGTGACTGCAGGCGGGTAGTTGTTGTTGCAGGAGCGACCGTAACTGAGGAGGAGTAGTGTGTTTGCAGGAGCAGCCGTGACTGCTGGCGGAGTAGTTGTTGTTGCAGGAGCAAACAGTGACTGCGGCGGAATAGATGTTGTTTGCGGGGAGCAGCTGTGACTGCTGGACGGAGTAGCTTGTTGTTGCAGGAGCAGCCGTGACTGCTGGCGGCGTAAGCTGTTGTTGGGGAGCAACCGTGACTGTGGCGGAGTAGCTGTTGTTGCAGGAGCAGCTGTGACTGCTGGCGGAGTAGCTGTTGTTGCAGGAGCAGCCGTGATGCATGGCGGAATAGTTGTTGTTGCAGGAGCACCCGTGACTGCTAGCGAAGCAGTTGTTGCAGGAGCAGCGGACCGCTGGCGGAGTAGCGTTGCTGCAGGAGCAACCGTGGACTGCAGGCGGAGTAGAAAAAATATAACTGTGTGCAGCAGCAGCAGTCACTACTGAGCAGCAGCGGTTGTAATTAGTGGGACAGACATTGCTGTGAACGATGGGACAGTTTGGATATCGCGAGAAGAAAAGAAACACTTTGCCCACTGTTGGAGCATCTGTTATTACTGGGGAGCATCCGGGGTTTTGTCATTGAGAAGCCAGTTGTTATTACCGGTAAAGTAACTGGCGTCGGACGATTAGGGTGTCTGCAAAATACAGTCTAGATAAGTGCGTAGGTCGCATCGCTTCCTGCAAGTCATACACGCAACATACAAAATTGAATGAAAAGTAACAGGGGGAAAAAGGCAAACATGACTACCTCCTCAGTGTAAATTACACACAAAAATCATGCAGAACACTGCCTTCTTCTGATACGCGGCCGTTTGTATTTTATTGTCATTTTGTTGGAGGCAATGATGGAATTCTCCAGCCTCGTCGAACAGTATTAACCCTGCAGTTGAAGTGGCAAAGGCATCAGTGAAGAACGAGTCTTTTTATAAACCAGTTTGCTTCGCAGTTACTGAGTAGTTCTGTTGCAAATGCGTTATCGTAACGCGTTTAAAACTTTCCTCGCAAGCCAATCATTTCCACACACAGAAACGGCCCAAAACACCACATATATACAAATATATTATCCCATACATATACACATTTTTAATGAAATATATATACACATACTTTGTGTTTGTGTCTAGCGGGTGTGTATATACATATAACCTGTGTATATGTATATACATATATATATATATACTAATATATATATATATCATATATATATATATATAATATATACATATATATACATATATATATAATATATATATATATATCTAGATATATATATATATATATATGCGTGTGGCCTGTGGTGTGTGTGGTGGTGTGGTGTGTGGATGTGTGTTGTCGTGTTTTTTTTCGCGTGTTGTGTGGTAATGTGTGTGGTGTGTGTGATTAGAGAAGAAACAAATCTATCTACCTTATTTATCGACACATAAACAGCCACATCAACGCTGAAAGTACTTATCTTTAACGCCATTATTACGTTTGTCTTCAGCTCCAAGAATTCCTTATTACATTTCTTAGTGTTGGGGTTGAAGGTCAAGCAGGAAAATCCGATCATCGTACCACTAGGTGTCTGTTGCGGGCAAGAAAGGGATCAGAGGAGTAGGTTGAAAATGGAAGTTTAGGATTTCACCGTATGATATTTGTAAGTATTTATACATTTTCCTGTCTGTCTGTAACTCTCCCTCTCTCGTTTTCTCTCCTCCTGGCCCTCACCCTTTCTTTTCTATTTTTTGCTTGCATCTCTCTCTCTCTCTCTCTCTCTCTCTCTCTCTCTCTCTCTCTCTCCTCCTCTCTCTCTCTCTCTCTCTCTCTCTCTCTCTCTCTCTTCAACATTTTTTTTCCTCTCACCTCCACTTTCTGCTTGCATTTCTCTTTTTCTCCATTGTTCTTGCTGTATATGAGAGCCACCTGATTGTAATCCAAGGTAAGCGTGTTGCTACACACCTGCTGAACGACTGCAGACAAAAAGCCACAGGGGATTTATGTATCTATTGCCTCCCATTAATAATGATGATGATGGTAAAGATCATCAACAGGAAAGATACATATACAAAGGCAGTTCTAATACACTAATGAGGAAACAATAATTTCACGAACATTAACGAGAAAGACAATGGTGGTAATTATGAATAAAACGTTTGCAATAAAATCAAATGTTAAGATGAACAAAATAGATTTGATAATGATAGTAATAATGTCAATGGTAGTAATAGTAATAAAAATAACGAGAAACAAATAACAACGGCAACAGCAGTAACGATAATAGCAATAATGTTAATGATGGTGATGATTTAAATTATCTTAATGATTATCTTGATGCTGATAATGATAAAAGCAGTCCTGATAACGATAATAACGATAAAGATAGTAATAATAGATTTTTTTATGATAAAGGCAATGGTGATATCAACATCAATACCGATAACGACAATACTAATATTAATACTACTAATAATAGTAGGAATGATAATACTGCTGTTACTATTAATGATGATAATGACAACGATAACATTAATATTAACAATGATAATCATAGTAATGATAATAATATAACAATGCTAATACCAATAGTGATAATAACAAAAAATGATAACCAACGACAATGAGGAAGAGGAAAGGAAAAGTAATCTTAATGATAGTTGTAATGATTATGCTCCAAAATGACGATGGTGATTATAAGGCAAATAATAGTATTTGATGAATTTTACATCCAAAGTGATATCGTCCACACATATTGCAATTGGAAGGATTGCGTAATATTTCCACAAATTGTGCATCATTAGGCTACAAAGCAAATGAATTTCTCTCACTGTTCACTGTTCCGTCCGTTGCTCCACTTCCGCCTTGTCTGGTATTAAGTCTTCTCTTTATCAATGCTGTTTTCTTGGGCCTTCTACCTCTTATTTTGGCCTCTTTTCCTTTTTGCGTTTTACCTCTTCCTCTCTTGGTTGATGTTTGTTTGCTTTTCCCTGGCTTTCTCTCTCTGTCCTTCTTTTTTTGTTTTGTATGTTCCCCTGTTTTTTCTTTCTTGTACATTTTATTATTCCTCTTCTTATTGCCTGAATCCTTATCTTTTCCACTTCTGCCAGGATTTTCAGACTTTTCCTCATCTTTACGTTTTGTCTCTTTATCTCCTTTCTCCTTTTCCAGACTTTGACCTTTGTTTCCGTTTTTCTCTTTCCTTCCTCCAGACTGCTTGTTTTTCTTCTTTGTGTGTTTTCTGTCATTTTTCTCTTCCTGTGATAGTTGCTTATTAGACTTAGGTCCGTTTTCACTATTTTGCTTACCTTATCAAGTTTCTTTCGGTCAGTCTGCCCTTCTTTATTGCCTATACCATCATTACGTTTGTCTTCAGCATCGTTAGTCTTCTTTCTATCTATTTTACCTTTAATGATTTCCTCCTCGTTCGCCTGGCCATTCTTACTGCCTCCTCTGCGTTTGTTGTTGGTATTGTCGACCTCTCTGTCCTTTTTTCCTCTCTGATTTTCCTTTCCTTCCATCAGGCGATTCCTCATATCTCCGCTACCTTCAACAGTGCAAATTTCACAAAGAAATCCTGCAGAACACTGATTCCTCTTGATTTGACGGCGTTTGTATTTTATTGTCATGCTGTTGGAGGAAATGATGATATTCTCCGGCTTCATCGTCGTGCAGTACTTAACCCTGCAGTTAAAGTGGCAAAAAGATATCAATGAGAACGAATAATTTCACAACTAGCTTGTTTTGATGTTACTGTTTAGTTCTGTTGTAAATTGAGTATCGTAATGCGTCTTTAACTTTTCTTGCAGGCAATTCGTTTCCATCCACACGCATACATACACACATACACATATTGTCTAATTGCTGTTTATCACTAGTGCGTTTGTTATTATAGAGACGTGGCTAAACCGCCTTTCTCGGTTAATGGCGGTAAGTCCCTTAAAGCCCAGAATGATGTTTCTTTGCCAATCAGTATTTCTACTACTGTGCATATACAGCCGTCATTAGTCCGTTAAGGATTATCGTTACCGGAAGAAAAGATATGGTATAATAGAGTTTATATATGAAACCCATTCTAAGGCCTTATCTTCTTCATGAGGATAAGTCCGATATGCGAAGCTGAGCCTCGCCCGGGCTATACCCATGAGGGGAGCCCGGCCTGTGTCGACTTAGCCGACTCGCTAATGTGTATCAGCTGGTGCTGACTCGGGTGAGATTAGTCCTTACCCGCCGTGGTGCCCAACCACAGCAGTAACCTGCAGGCGACAATTGCAACTTCTCCCGCCTGAGCGGGGCGCGAACCGCCGACCCCTCGGATGAGAGGCCGACACGTTACCAATGTAGGAGGCTTATCTTCTTCATAATCCTGAGAATATATATCTATAATGGACTGAGGACTTACAAGTATTTTTGACAACGTAACTATACAAATAAAAATACATTTGTCGATTAAACATAAAACGCTAAGCTATTTGACAAGGTACACATATTAATAGTACTGTACGAGAAAGGAATAAAAGTAAATCAGATTTTCGTGACATAACATTTCAGGGGGGACTACACTACACTCTCTCTTTCTCTCTCACACACACATATATAAAATATATTGTCCATATATATATATACATAGCTACAAATATGTATCCATAAATATGCTATATACATACAATATAATCTATAATAATGCACATACTTACATACATAGATATATGAATTGCGTGTGTTGCGTATATGCATACATATCATATGTATGTATATATTACATATACAAAACACACACATGCCGATATATGTATATGTATATATACCTACACACATAGACGTGTTATATGTAGCTGTATATAGATAAATGAATCTATCTACCAATATATATTTATTTATATACACACATGCACACCTATTAATGCTACTCTGTATAAACATTTATTCCTGAAATAAACACGATGAACGTACGTATCTTTAACGCCATTAACCTTGTCTCAGCTCCAGAATTCCTTATACATTTCTAGTGTGGGGCGAAGGCAAAGCAGGAAAATCCGATCATGTGCCAGTAGGGTGCTGTTGGGGCAAGAAAGGAATCAGAAGAGTAGGCAGGGAAATGGAAATTTAGGATGTCAACGTACGCCTATGTGCAAGTATTTATACACGTTCATATAATAAATCATCAATTCATCCTCGCATCTGCCCTCTCCCCCCTGTCCTCATTCTTTATTTTCAATATATAGACATACATACATACAGAAGATATATGTATAGAGAAGCATATACATAGATATTATATTATATTATATATTATATATATATATATATATATATGCATATGTATATATATATATATCAATATATATATATTATATATTATATAAGATATATATATATATATATGTATATATATGTATGTAGGTATATTATATACAATATACATTATATACATATCTATATATATACATATATACATTTTATATATATATACATAACATATATATATATAATTCTAATATTATAGAATATTATATTATATAATATATATATATATTATTTCCTTCACTTTCTGCTTGCATTTCTCTTTTTCTCCGGTGTCTTGCTGTATATGAGAGCAACTTCATGTAGTCCAAGATAAGCGTTCTGCATACAACTTGCCTGAACGACATGCAGAAAAATAGCGACAGGGTATTTATATATCTATTGCTTTCATGAATACTGAATGGCGATTAAGGCAATAATCTCACAAACATTAACGAGGACGATAGGTACAGTATGATAATTACCACTTGCAATGCAAAAATGTAAGGAGTGAACAATCTGGAAATTGGTATTAATAGTAATGAAAAAATAATAGTAACGTGATATCGTCAACATATATTGCAGATACAGGAACACTGTCATTATTTCATAAACTGTTACATCATTAGGCACAAAAGCAAAATGAAATTTCCTCACAGTTCACTGTTCCGTTCGTTGTACCACATCTGTCTGTCTGCTGTTAGGTCTTTCTCTTTATCAGTTTTGTTTTCTTGGGCATTCTTACTTCTATTTTGGTCTCTTTTCCTTTTCATTTTACCTCTTCCTCTCTTGGTGACGTTTGTTTGCTTTCCCTGGCTTTCTTCCCCCACTCTGTCCCTTTTTTTGTCTTTGAATATGCCCTGTTTCCTCGTTCTGTGTCTTTTATTATTCTCTCTTATTTACCGGAATCCCTCATCTTTTCCGTTTCTGCCAGAATTTTAGACTTTTCCTTCATCTTTACGCTTTGTCTCGTTATATCCTTATTCCTTTTCCAGACTTTGAACTTGGTTTCCGGTTTTCTCTTTCCTTCTAGGAGACGCTTATTTTCTTTTTGTGGTTTCTGTCTCTTTTTCTCTTCCTGTGATATTTGACTCTTGGCTGAGGTCGGTTTCAAGGTTCCTTTCGGTCAGTCTGGACCATTCTTATGCCTTTACTATCATGCGTTGGTCTTCAGCATCGTTAGTCTTCTTTTCTCTTTCCTTACACTGTAGTGGTTTCCTCTTCGGTCGTCTGGCTATTTTTAAACCTCCCTCTGCGCTTGTTGTCGGCATCGTCGACCTTCTCTGTCCTTGTCTCCTTTCGGAATTTGTTCCTTCGTCAGGGTGAATTCTTGTGCCCTCCTTTACCTCTGGGTTTGTCTTTAGCATTCGTCAGCCATCTTTCTATCATTTTTCCTTTTAATGATTCCTCTCCCTTCTTTTTCATTTCGCAAGGCGATTATGGTTTCCTCGCTATAAATTGCGTTGCCCCCTGCTCTTTCTGGCATAAACATCATGCTTATTTCGTTTTCTCGTTTTTTCGCAATCCTGTTGCCGAATCCACAACCGTTTTCATTTTTTCGCTTGATTCGTTTTTTTTTTTTTGTGGTTCACATTCTTCTCATTCCCACCCTACGGTCTTCGAACCTGGGAGTTGAAGTGATTTTCAGCAAAGATTTTGATTCTGAACCTCGCTTGACCTGTGTGGTCTTCCATTCTCTCTTCTCGTCGCCGGAGGTCACGAAGGTCATGGACTGTGGGTCTAAATCACCTTTCCTTCTGCTCATTTTGATTATACTGATGAAGATACAATGGGAAAGTGTGTTCAGGCCCCGTTCGTCTCTCTTCCACCTTTAGATATAATTTTTCTCCCTATTTATCTCTCCTTAACTTCCCTCTTTCTCTCTACCTTTTCTTCGTGTGATTCAATGCACATCTTTTCTTTCTTGGATGTATGTATGTTTTTCTGTCGGTATGTTCTTTCTTGCTTTTTGGTTTACCTGCCTGTCTTTCTTTCTGGCTGTCTGTCTGCCGTTTTGTTTGTCTCTTCCTCAGCTTATTCGGTTACAGCAAATTCTGTCTGTCAAAATCTATATGTACATACCCTGCATCTTTGTCTTTTCTCGCCATGGTTCATTTTTCATGAACCATCTCTCTAGTTGGCCCTGTATATACTCATCCCTTTCTCTTCCCTTTTTCTTTTCTTCTACTTTCTCTTAACTCATTTGGTTGTAGCGAGGCAACGATAATACAGATACCACCAAACAAGAAGACAAACCGCTATCGTCCTGCGAATTAAACAAAACAAATTATGAAAGTATCCCATAATCAATAGAAATTCATCATTATCACAGAAAAAAAAATCGAAAACAGGGTGATAGACTAGGGGGCTCAACATGATGTCCACAGAACAAAGGCATATGAATTACGCGGTTAACCCTTTAACTGATTCATAGCTTATGACATCACCAAAATAAAGGGCATACTTTTCCAAAGCAGTTTAAAGTAAAAAAATAATAATATTAAAATAAAAAATAAATAAATAAAATAAAAAAGGATTACTATATATCAGTGCAACTAGCGAGGGGTAAGAGAACCTGAAACTCTTTATTAGTTATCCTAGACAATAAAGTAAAAACTATTGTGCATCCATATGGCTACTCAAAATTTCACCCCCACCATTTTATGTTGTCAATGGCTACTAGCTACATTATGTTCAAATTATTAGGATACTTCATTTATACATGAATTATCCAAATACTCCCAATATTTTTCTATAAAACATGTTATAGATACCTTACAGTTTATCTATTCTCAAACCTTATAGATTACCCAAAATGGCTACTCTGCCGATCCTTGATCCAATGAAAAGTAAAAAAATAATATATTTTCTGCGAGGCATGTCAAAATTACTGCCATGCGTATGATAAAGCTAACAAATTAATTTTATGAAGAGAAAATTTATTCTTTTACGTCTATCATAGTAAACTTACATACTATGGAATGTTAATCATCGGACCTCACCAACTAATTTGTTCGACGCTGATTATATACAACAGGCGATGGTTACAGGAAACCGGTAATGTGCCAATCGGGACATATAGTGAACAGCGATATAAATATAAGGACGTATATGAGTTCTAGGAGAATATACTAAAATACATAATATCTGAAAAGGGTCAAAATTTAACGAGGATCCATTATATAAACTAACAGTAACCAAGAGAAAGAAAAAATAAGACAAACATGTATTCCACTCACAATGTTTGATGAGAAAGCGTTTTCCGCCACCGTCGAAGTGGTATGGTTCTTCTTCAATCTGAAAACGTCCTCGATAGTTCAGTCACAAGTGTGTTCGCATATCCTTATCTAATAGTGGTTTTTTTTTCCTGTAAAATTAATGGACTACGTTCTCGTAACCACATGGTTACAATTTCACCTCTTCTCTCACTCATTCACCCGACACACACACACACGCACACACACACACACAACAAACAACACACATACACACACATGCGCGCACAGACGCGTGGCATACACATCACAAACATAAAAAGTTAAATAGGCGTAGAAGGAGGTGGTGGAAGAGGGGAAGGAGAATTGCCAATAAGAACAAGAAGGACAAAAGAAAAATAAGGAGGAGGAGCAGTGGGTAGAGGAAAATGAAAGAGGAGGGAAGAGGAGCAGGAGGAAAAGGAAGTACACACACAGTAACAAACCACAAAGATGAAAAGGAAACACAGCCACAGTAAGAATATGAATATGAACCTTTTCATATAATAAAAAATTATACAATACCTCTGTTATGAACATTTACAAACATACATATATGTTTATATATCTATATAATATATATATTATATTATCTATATCTATATTATATACTATAATATATAAATGTATATTAAAGATATACATTGATCTTTAAATATATATATGCAAATAGAGGTACTGTACAGATATTAGCATATATAATACACATACATACATACATACATATCGTATATCTATATACTATATATATATATATATATATATTATATATATATATATAATATATATATTACGTATGTGGTATTATCTGTTATTTATGTATATTATATACATGTGTATATATGAATGCATGTATTCTACATTATATTCTACATATGTTTATATATATGAATATATGTATATTATGTTTATATAGAAAACATATATGTATATATGGTGTGTATGTAGTGTGTATAAACTGTGAAATAAGCATGGATGTATACATATATCATCTATATATCCATTCATATATATGAAGTATGTAGACATATATATTTATATAACTGCGTGCGTAGGTGTGTGTGGGCTATGTGTTTGTGTGGATGTGGTGTCCATTGTGTGTGTGCGTGTGCATTTGTGTGTATGCGAGCGTGTGTGTGGTGTGGGTGTGTATGGTGTGTGTGTGAAGTCACAATGCACAAATCAATCTATTATGTTAATACACATAAAATAGACACACATATACAAACATATACAAAAGCACGCACATAACACACACACAATAGATATATATATACATATGTATGTATATATATGTGTGTAATTTATAACATATACAACGTATATCAAGTATATATACATTATTTTAAAACCC